AATTATGGTTACCAATTGAAGCCAGCATGTCACCCTGTGATAAATTATAATAAATACTCATTAAGTAACCATTAGATTCGGCGAAAATAGCCATATTATTCGTAAAACCATATAACAAGGAAGTTGTACGATGGTAGGGCAACATGTTTTTGTGCCCATGATCGGGTCTTTATTAGAATTTGGGGTTCCATCTCAAACCCAATTGGTAATAACTACTTGGCTCATATATCGTACACACTAGTTAAGGTCTCTCTTGTCCTTTTCAATGTAGGATATTAATATACATCTTCTCGAGATAATGACTTTTCTAACCATTGTTCTCAGTATATTCGGTCATAGATCGACGGACCAACTATTGGGTCAGGGCAATTGTAGATTGGACTGGGCATGTATGGATCGGTCTCTCATACCGTATTAGAATGTGAGTTTCCAATTCAAAAAATTAACAATAATTGGCCTATATATCTTATATATACTAATCAAGATCTCTTGTCCTTTTCCAATATGTGATATTATTATTCCTAATAGCCTTGATCCATATATATATTGTAACTGCGATTATGATTCCTCAATTATAGTTCTATGCCTCTCAACTCTCGATCATTTAAAATTGACTTTTTCTTTTAACAGGGTATCCACAATAAGCCCTTCACGCAGTTGTCTCCATGGAAGTTGATGAACACTTCATACTATATATGTAGGGATTGGTCCACTGTCGAAAGAGAAGGAAAAGGACTAGGAAAGAGGAAGGAGAAAACCATGAGAGGTGATGGTGTTCTTCGAAAAAATTGTTTACAGAGAAGAAGGAAAATTTTAAAAACATAATTGATTGTGCGGTCTCGATGCTACAATTTGAAGAGCGATTTTCTTTTTGCTGCTATATATACTAGATAAAATTGGTTTGCTCCGTATTTTTTTTTCTTTCTAATATTTTACGTTTTTGTTATTTTAAAGCAAATATTTTACTTCTTTTTTCTTCTTAATTATTGTTTTTTTTTCCTCTAGATTTATTATTTATTGCAAATTATGAGAACTGTTACATAGACGATTTTACAACGGACAATTTCTTCCGACTCTTATTAGATCCACGATAGACGACACTTCCTTCTTCATGCTCTTGACGGATTCGAACCCTACACCTCTTGTTATAGAAGCGTTAATTAACTAGATGTTAACCCGCGGTACACCGCGGGTCTATATTTTTATTCGAAAAATTTATTAAATTTTGTTTTAAGATATTCTATAGATATAACTATTTTTTTGTTTAATTTAAATGTATAATACACCGTGAGACGAAATTTTATT